CCCCAAAACCCCAAAACCCCAAAACCCCAAAACCCCAAAACCCCGAGGCGCTCTGAGGTGGTTGAGACTTATTTTTAACAAGAATTTATGGAAGATTCTGACCATAAAATAGGAGGTGATTTTAATATTGGAAATAAGCAAATCTATAATCAGCTTCTTCTTTTGAGGTTCTACATTGTGTTCAGATCTTCTTAAACTTATTAACTATACAGCAGTATCTAAATAATAGTCAATGAATCAAACTACCTTCAGTACCAGATTCGATTATCGTGATCCAACAGTGTTCTTATTTCGTCACTGGGAGGAATCGATCCTCTTATCATATTGATCGGAGAAGCTATTTCTCTATCATTTTCGATTCTTCTGGCAGCCTCCCTGTTTCTCATGCTCTTTGGCTTTCTTCAATATGTGCATCTCACGAATCCCTCTTTGTTATTGAAATCTCAGAATTTTCAAATATTTTCTGACATTCTGTTACTTTCATTGTTATGCAAGAGTGATGCAACTCTGTTTCGTTTCTGAGACTCGAAACTTTCAGACGACAAAGAAATATCCTTACTTTCTTCTTTGAGAGGAGGCAGAATGCTTTGAGGATCATCTCTGAAAGCATGACTGAATCAGCCCGCTTTCTCTTCCTCCTCAGGCATCGAGTCAGAGATAGTCTCCTCTTTAAAAAGATAGTTTTTGGGCTTAATTTCTTCAAAAGCATATTGATGATTTTCTAAGTCACCTTTCTGTTGAATAATTCCAGATGCATATTGATCTTGGTTATTAAGAGCAGCAGGTTGGAGATCTTTCTCTAGTTTCCTCCATGATCTATCTAGGTCCTTTTGTTCTCAAAAGTGTCCTGTCTCCTTCTTGATTTTCTCTAATTCTTGTATAGTATCTTTCCATCCCTCAACAGCTTGTAAGAGTGCAAAATTAGTGGGCAAGTCCATGACCTTGATTATGTAATTCCTTTCATGACACAAAGGGCAATAGATACAATTGTTTTGTGCAACCTGGCCTAATCAGTATGAACAGTAGGTATGCCCACATTCTGTCAAGATCTTTGGAATCACTTTAGTATCTTCATATTGAGATGTTCTTTTACCATTGATCAACTTATTGTTGTTTCCCTAGAATCAAGTAAGTTCAAAGTTTCAGAAAGAGGGTAAGAGATATTTATGCTCTTAAGACTTCAAATCTAAATGCCAATCTAGGGTCTTACTCAGGAACTATACTCTCTGAATCAGATGGTTCACTCCATGTATAATAATTATATGTTTTGCCAAGCTTGTTTTAAGTGTAGGGGTTTTGGGGTTTTGGGGTTTTGGGG